CAAAGGGAAATTTCATCCATTGCTTCTGTGAATTTAAATAGAATAAAAACAATAAAATAAAGAGAATAAACAGGTCGAGGGACAAATAACGAGTCAACAACTCTAAAACAGTGATGACTAACGAGGTGGTTGACTGCCTCTACTGTGACCTAGGCCAATAACTTCTATGCTTGTTTTTTATGATGTGCTATCACTTACTTGCTCTAGCCTCGTGTTTGTTACTTACAGTCGTTCTAAACTTATTCTAGCCTCGTATTTGTCACTGACTGCAGTTATAAAACGGTTTCTAGCCCTGTGCTTGATACTTATCTTTCAAGGCTTATTTTTTATGCTACACAAGCCTCTCCTTGTCTTTAGTTTTTTATATGTCCCTGCACATGCAAGATAAAGTACAAGGACAGGATAGAGGATGTTGTCCTCGATTCTGTAGCACTATAGAAGCTACAGAAAAGTTTATATTTTATGAATCATCACGGTGGTTTGATGCAGTATCAGTTACAGGACATGGGTGTAGCAGTACAAGCAAGTAGGCAGCCGGATAACAGCAGTTGACCATGACCAATCGCCTGAGGGTTTTTGGGTGTGGTGCTGGAACAGTCCAAAACTTGCCTCCAAGCAGCCAATAGGAGCACAGCACTACTTGTGGGTGATGCTGTGTCCTATTTGGTTTCTCGCCAGGAGACATAGAAAATCTGCTATAAAAACCCATGTCTGGAGCTGAAAAATCAGTTCGTCCAAGAGTTCTGTAGTCTCCAGCCAACACTATGCAGCTGAATAATCTCGACTCTACCAAGAAGGTTCCAACTCTCCAATTATGCGTGTTACGTAAACTATTAATATATGCTTAATGACCAATTATAAAATAATTGTAGGAAAACTATGCCACAGCCCAAGGCAGCCATAGTGGAGATTGAAGGCTTCAAAGTCCATGGAGTACACATCATCAAGGAAATGGCTGTCATGGACTGTAGAACAGGGTGGACGGATGTGTATTGCTTCCGGCCTCCCTTCCCTGAAAATTGCTTGAGTGATTCCGATCGTCGCCTTAACTTCTGGTGCAGCATGTACTTACATGGACTCCAGTGGGACGACGGGGATCACTCCCAAACGGATTTCCTGAGGGTGCGCCAGGAAATACAACAAGAGTATGTGAAAATATACACAAAAGGGAAGGAGAAGGCACAATTGCTAAAATATTATTTGAGTGTTCCTAGCATCGACATGGAAGATTACGGATGTCCTGCGTAACGGCATGTTCTACCCCAATCTCCTGTACATATCACCGGTAGCCACAAGAGCACTGCTCTTATTGGAAGGTGTGTGCCTTGAGAGAATGGATCGTGAGCAGTGGCCCCGAAGTATATGAGAGATTTAAAGAAGTGTTATAATTTTGTTTATAGTTCTTTTAAGTTCACTGTATGTAACTAATATACCAATGTAACCGCATATATCTATATATAATTAAGTATAATGACATATCATATTGTCTTTTTTTGTTTTATTATATATATATATATATATATAAGGATAGGCAGGGGATTGTATAGAGTTCATATATATACCATACACCAGGGAAATTTTCCACTGATATAGAGAGAATGAGTTGGAGCAGGAGGAAGGAGGGATGAAGCAAAGGGAAATTTCTGAGGAAATTTCATCCATTGCTTCTGTAAATTTAAATAGAATAAAACAATATTAACGAAGTTATATTAAAAACTTAGAACAGTTAAGAGACAGAAGAGAGATAGAAAGAGAATGAATAGGTCGAAGGACGAATAACGAGTCAACAATTCGAAGGACATATAAAGAACTAACAAGTACAAGGAGAGGCTTGTGTAGTATAGCATAAAAAATAAGCCTTGAAAGATAAGTATCAAGCACAGGCCTAGAACCAGTTTATAACTGCAGTAAGTGACAAGTACGAGGCTAGAATAAGTTTAGAACGACTGTAAGTAACAAACACGAGGCTAGAGCAAGTAAGCAATAGCACAGCATATAAATGAGTATAGAAGTTAGTGGCCGAGGTCACAGTAGAGGCAGTCAACAACCTCGTTAGTCATCACTGTGCTGCATACAAAACACCAATGTACAAGGACAGGATAGAGGATGTTGTCCTCGATTCTTTAGCACTGTAGAAGCTACAGAAAAGCTTATATTTTATGAATCATCACGGTGCTTTGATGCCGTATCAGTTACAGTACATGGGTGTAGCAGTACAGGCAAAGTAGGCAGCCAGTTAACAGCAGTCGACCATAACCAATAGTTTTTGGGGTGGTGCTGGACCAGTCCAAAACTTGCCTCCAGGCAGCCAATAGGAGCACAGCACTACTTGTGGGTGATGCTGTGTCCTATTTATATGCTTGCCGGGATACACAGAAATCCGGCTATATAAGCCCATGTCTGTAACTAGAAAGTCAGTTCCTCCGGAGAGTTCTGAAGTTACCCAGATCTCCAGCCAGCATGATGAACAACTTAGACTCTGCTAAAAAGGTTCCAACTCTCCAGTAAGTATCTCTCTCTAAATCAGTTTTTGTACAGTATATGTTTTATTGAGTGTTATAAATGTTAACATTTAAACTAATGATTAGAGAGTTGAACTATCAGTGATATACCTAATGTAATCAAAGAGTAATAAAAGATATAAGTAATATTGTTGGTCTGAGACTCATCTTTACTCTAACTGTAAACTCCTGGAGTTAGCGACTTGTGGCTCCACACGTCACGACAGAATACTCCAACAAATAAATTTGGTGTACAGGTTGGTTTTAATTGAAACTCCAACAATTAAGCTCACCTGTTACAGTACCTATTACCAGAAGTTTGTGAAGGACTTTGCAACTATAGCTGCTACACTAAATGGTTTGACAAAAAAAGTAGAAGTTCGAATGGAGTTTCTTGCCAGCATGCTTTTAAAACATTGAAAGAAAAATTGGCCTCCTGGAGTGTCTTGCACTAACGTCAAGAGCAATGTTGAAGATTGTGAATTGCTGTGATTTATAGCATATCATAAAAGTTAAGTTTAAAGTGACGAGAAACGTGCTGACTGTGGAACTACTGTGTACTAAAAGTTTGTATCGAGGAAGAATAAGCTGGTTTAATCAAGAAAGGACTTGTATTGTTTAAGATCCTCGGATAGAATTTCTGCTATATAAACCCATGTCAGAGCTGGAAAATTAGATCTCTGGCGAGTTCTGAAGATACCCAGTACTCCAGCCAGTTCCACAAGCTGTAATTATGCAGCTCAATAATCTGGACTCTATGGCCAAAAAGGTTCCAACTCTACAGTAAGCATCTCTCTCTCTAGATCAGCTTTTGTATAATATATGATTTTACAAGAGAAGTGTTATTAAGTGGTATGTATTCGTTACCTATAGTAACTTGTAATTATGTGATATTCACAGGAATTACTCAGGACATGTTCTGAGAATGCCAATATCAAGACCAGCAAAGAAATCCATGGAGTGGGTGCTGCCAAATTTGAGAAGAGG